CAGCAGCTATGCTCTGTCCCCAGCTCCACTACGACCATGACCCCTGGTCCCCACTGCAGAGCCAGCCCCGCTCCCAACCACAGGCTTGCTCCCGACCACAGGCAACAGTCCTGCTCGGGGAGGGGGAGGAGAAGGACCAGGTAAGGGGGGGGATATGACCAAAAAAGTTTGGGGACCACTGATCTAAGCTCTTGAGCTTCCACTTCAAAGCTAAGTGAACCTGAAGGGTTAAGGCAAAGATGTCTGCTGAGAAGATGCAGCCATTTTTCTCCAATATATAAATCTAACAGGATGGACTCTTCTCAGCTTTTTTGAGGGAATCTATCTTTGGTCTTTTGGATTCCAGGCATTGAGCCCACATCTCCCAATAGGGCCAAAGGACTAGTCATCTTTATAGCAGAGCCACCCCATTGTAAAGCAGAGGGATTCCACATATGGCCTTTTAAGTGCTTACAGCATCACCTGAACTGAAAGAAAGAGTTGATAGCTCTCCAAAGGAAAGCAGCACAGGCTAAACCTCAGACTCCATGCTGAATAGCAATGAAGTTGATTCCAAGGACTAGAATCCACCTCTCCAAGGTGTGGTATATTTGACACATTGAAGGGAGAGGCAGGAGAAGATTCCCTGTTTTGTGCCACAAAGGAAAAAAACTAACCCGGTAAAAATGGCAGCAAACAGACTTAACTCCCAATAGCAACTCTCTCTATTGCCTGGTCCTAGGGGAAATAAAGAAAAGGAAAAAAGAAAAAAAAGGAGTGGAAGTATCAGAATTTTCAGTGCAACAAACAGACTCTTTGGCACCTGGGAGCTGGATGTAATGCTATCAATCCTCCCTGAGGCACTGACGCTGAAGCACTGAGATGCCGGATACAGATGCACTGAAACCCAATTCAGCAGACAAAGGACTCCAAAACCAGATGGAGTGGATGCTAGAAGGCCTCTAACATAGAGAAGTGCCTGGCATGGAAGATGATGCAGCACCATGCTGGCTGTAATGGGGTGGCCATTTAATGAGCACCCCCTCATAGCCAGGGGTTACTTTGCAGGCCCCCTGCCACTATTAGCCCCCCTCATGTGAGCCCCTTAATTGCTGCACACAGATTTTCATGTAGATATTAAATCAGGCCCAGGCAAGGGTGTTAACAAAAACGGCTCAACAATCCCCAACAATCCAAAATAAAAGTTAATCACCACACTACAGTCCATACTTTGCTCTGGTGTCTTCTTTCTCAGCCAGAGCTCTTCTTCTGTCCTAGTCTGTTCTCACAGCCCATCCTCCCAGCTCTTCCTATCTGGAGCCTACCTTGCTACGCCCCCAAACTTCCAGGGTCAAACTCCATCTGAATTTCCCCACAGGAGCCTCCTGCTCCCTGTGCTTCTCTGTCACAGCTCCCTTGGTCTCAGGTCTTCCATGCAGGAGCTATTCATACACTCTGCAGTTTCTCCACAATTTTCTGAGCTTTCCACTGCTCTTTATAGGGCAATCACTGTGATCTCTGCAAGGTGTGGTTGATTCTGTAATCAGGGATGGCTAGCACCAGGCCTCCAGTGGCACACTAATCTGTTACACTGGCTGTGACATCAAATTGAGTTGTGAGACACATGGCTCCATTTCTTCAACTCAAAATAAACACTGTGCCAGCAAATAATCCTCTAAAGGTTCAACAGGTCTTTCCACATTGACACTGAAGCCAGTGTTGAGCTTGACAGAGCAGACATCTTCCAACTCTAGGTGTCAGATGTTGGGGAATGCAACTACGAGATTGAAGAGTTCTTTGGTGGTAGCTTAGCCTAACCCTCAGTATCAAATGTAAGTGATAAGTCCTTGGATATCAAGCTTTTTCTGGCAAGGAAGTCTGCTGGATGCCTGTTCCTGATTCAGAAGATAGGGGCCAGGTACTGCACATTGACTGCTCCAGTTGATCAGTAAGAGGACAATATTCAATTAGACAACAGGTGGAATTTAAGGCTAATACCCCAAGCTCTACAAGTATGATTGGTAAAAATCTAATACAGAGAAAGCAGAGTAGGTACAGAAAACTCATCTGTTGCAGACACAGTACCCTCAGAGAAATACATCTTAAAGCTGAACAGACTCACAATAGCACAAGGAAGTCTCACTGGAGCCTGGAAAATGGAATGCCCAATGGGGCCAAAATTTTGACAAAAGTCACACTATTAAATATTCCAGATTTCTAAGTCAAAATACTAAACTTCCAAAAAGGGACAGACAGTCAATTTGCTGCTCACTGCCTACAGTTGGCGGAAGAATATGAATAGCAGTTGAACTGCACTCCTTTATATATCCTTAGCTGGGATGAGATGAGGAGATCAGCAGGTGTGCTTACAGTCCCAATGACATCTGCTTTGTAAGACGTTCCAAGTGAGCATTTGCCATTGGCGCGCGCACACATCCTACCCCACCTGCTGTGAAGATCCATGTCTGTTAAATAAATTTGCTGTAGACTTAAGTACACATCTACTATATAAAAGCAACTTTATGTGGCTGTATATCAATCGTAATTACTTATAAAATGTTACTAAATTGACACTGATCAAAGCCTAATTGATAAACATCCCTTGCAATACAGCATTAACTAACATTAGGTTAGGTGAGATACAAGTAATTCAGAACTTAAAATAGCAGCCATGTACTCTACAGTGACGTAGAGAAAACTTCCCCTCATGAATAAACAATAGGTGGCAGTTGAGTGAAACTGACAACATTCTCACCTGTGTAACAGCAGATGTAGAAGAACAATCGTAAGTTTCATTTTATTGCTACTGCAGGAGTCATGGAAGAGAAATGTCTAGTCTCACAACAGCACACACCTAAAAACTTGTCCTCCTACTTTTCAAAGGACATCAATAGATCAGCTCAGTGAAATTCAGTCACGCAGCCTGCTCCTATTGATTTCAATGGAAGCAGGAGTGGGCTCATCCTACATGAAAGCAAAATCTTGCCTGCTACTGCAGGACCAAATGGAATAGCAATTCACAGGTTAATCACTCATCTCCAAACTTATATGCAGGGCTAGAAGTCAAAAGGCCAGTCACAGCTATCAACAGTTCAACCGCCTCAATAAGCGAGAATAACATTCCAGCAGAACCATAATTAGCTCAATACTACTCAACACCTGTGACAAAAGGATCATGGCATAAACTTAGGACTCACTGCCCAAGAGCCAGGAAGGGTTTATAAAGGAGGAAGTTTCAGCAATCAAAGAGCTAATGGGTATTTCTACACAGCAAAGAAAAGCCTGTGGCTGGCCCATGCCAGCCAACTCTGGCTCGCAGGGCTCAGACTGCAGGGCTGTTTCATTTCTGCATAGACAGCCAGGTTCAGGCTGAAGCCCAGGCTCCAGGACACTTGTGGGGTGGGAGGGTCCCATAGCTCAGGCTCCAGCCTGAGCCCAGAAGTCTACACAGCAATGGAACAGCCCCTGAACCTAAACTGGCTGGCACGGGCCAGCCACAGGTTTTTCTTTGCTGTGTAGACATATACATGAGGCTTTGGGCAAAAGTTTTAGCTGTGTGGATGGAAGAAAATGTCCAGTCTTAGGGTAGGTCTACACTTACCCGGTAGTTCG